GGGCTCAAGCGAGTCTCCTGCCTCCGCCTCCCAAGTAGCTGGGACCACAGGTGCCCACGACAACGCCCGGCTATTTTTTGGTTGCAGCCGTCATTATTGTTTGGGGGGCCCAGGCTGGATTTGAACCCGCCACCTTAGGTGTATGTGGCTGGCACCTTAGCCACTTGAGCCACAGGCGCCGAGCCTCTGTTTTGTTTTGAGACAGAGTCTTACTCTGATGCCTGGGTAGAGTGCCACAGCATCATTGTGGCTCACAGCAACCTCAAATTCTTGGACTTAAATGATCTTCTTGCCTCAGCCTCCTCAGTAGCTGGGATTACAGGCCCATACCATCACATCCAGCTAGTTTTTCTATTTTTATTAAAATAAGACGGGGTCTCACTCTTGCTCAGACTGGTCTTGAACTCCTGAGCTCAAGCAATCCACTTGCCCCAGCCTTTCAGAGTGCTAGGATTACAGGTGTGAGCCACTGTGCCTGACTATATGGTACTCTGTTCTGGGTCTAGGTCCTAAGTACAGACTTAATAGGGACTGTGGAACCAAATGCTGGGCGGATATGGGAGTTCAGGGCTGGACTCCTGAGGAAGTGCTGAACTGGGACCCCCCCACCAATGGTAGCTTTGACAGAGCAGTTCTACTGGCAAGGGATCTAGGTGACAGATCAGAGCTGTGCCTGTTCAAGGGCCTCAGGTTAGGCCTCAGCTAAGCAAAAAGCCTCCTGGCCCAAGTCAGGAGTGTGGAACCCTTAGTCACAGGTGGACACACCCACACTGCAATGAACACATCTATGGTTTTTGCAAACTCAGCAATAAAATTCCTCTACTTAGTAAGGATAAGAATGTTATGGGGATACTTCCCTTGAAATATTTGCTGAATTGGATTTTGTCAAGTACAGTCTATACTTAGAACCACTCAAAAACATTTTATATACTGTAAACCACATAAATCACCTAACTGGCCTGAATTGCAGGAAAAGTTACAGAAGCTTGCACATGCACAGCCATGGGTTGGTGCTGGGAAATAAAATGATGTTTTTACCCAGCAAAGAATGTCTATAAGGAACACGCAGAGGGCAGAAAACCTTAGTTATATACATGCAATTCTGGAGGATTATAGCTTCTTTCTTTTATGACTGTTCTCTAGGGCTGTGTAGATTGTGAAGCGATTTAGTTAGTAGCAACTAATATTTTTTTTAAGGAATAGGAATAGAGTAGAAATTATCAGGATGCACTGTAGATAGTCAGGGTAGTTCCCTTAGGGTGATTTTGTGAGGTTTTTATTTCAGTTACATACGAGTGTTCAGTGTATACTAGGCCACAAAGGAAAATGAATCTTTCTTTTCTTCCTTCCTTCCCCTTTAGTTCTCCTCTCTCCTTCCCCCCTTCCTTTGTTCTTTGTTTTTTGAGACAGTCTTTGCTTTGTCACCGGGGGTAGAGTACAGTGTCATTATCCCTGCAATTCCTCTTGAGTTCTAGATATCTTCCTGCCTTAGCCTACCAAGTAGCTGGGGCTACAGGTGTGTGCCACCATATCAAGGTAATTTTTTCTATTTTTAGTAGAGATGAGGTCTTGCTCTTGCTCAGGCTTGGCCTCCAGAGTGCCAGGATTATAGGTATGAGCCACTGGGCCTGGCTAAAATTTCTTACTGTGGATCCTAGTCAACGTATTTTTTTATTATTAATTTTTCTTGCTTATACATGTGTATATTTTTTAAAAATAAACCTTTTAAATAAGTAAATCTTTTAAGGGTTTTTTTTTTTTTTTTT